TGAATTTCTTGTTTCCACCAACCTTGCGTTTCATGCTTTTTGAATCTGTTCCCCCTTTTGACCATCAAAACGTCACCCCCGATTTTTCTTGATGTTTTGCTCAGCAGGGTTGAGCATTCCATGCAATTCGGTTAAGGTCTTCTCAAGACCATGCATATTATAGTTCAGGATGAACCAGTCATATGTCGGGGTAAGTGACACGAGAATGACATCAGTAGTCAACTCTTGACTAATTGGGGATTCAAGTCTCTTCAAGTGGTCCCTATACTCAATCATCTTGAGTATGTGAGGTCTAATTGGACTCCCATCAGTGAGCTATGTGTGAAACAAAGTCTTGGTTATCTCGAACCTTTCGATTTGTGCTTGTTTTTGAAACAAGTTCTTGAGTTCACTAGAGATGTCATGTGCACAACGATTCAAAATCTATTTATGAAAATTAGCTTATGTGATGGTTAACATCAGACAAGTGACATCAACTTCATCACAAACATGTCTTTCAAAAGCATCTCTAGTGGCTCTAGCAGCATTGATCGTTGGTTCAGCAGGAATTGGTTGGTCAAGGACATATTCCTTATGCTCTTAATTGCCTGAGAACAATTCTTAGATTCCTATACCAGTCCATGTAGTTTTTTCATTAAGTTTTCCCTTCTCAATGATTGATCACAATGAAAAAGTTGTGTTGGTGGTCATATTAACTACAACAAATAATGCAAAGAATTTAAATAATGTTTAAAATAACTCCCACTATATTAAATAGAAATTCCAAAATATAGCGGGGGTCCAAGACACGTAGTTCACTAAATTTAAGTAAACTTTGACTTATCACTTAAATATTAGTTATTTAGGCAAACAAGTCTTGTTAATCATATCCTTCAAGACTCATGGTTTGTCTGGTCAACATCACATGATTATCCAAACATCCTTTGCTTCAAGACCCAAAATCATTTTGATGGCCTTGTAAATCCAAACCAATATTAAGACCCGATAATGATGATATGATCATTCGAACCATCTTCCTAAGATAATGTGAAATGTTAGCTTTGGCAGACACATATCACAACTAACATTGTTTAAATGGTGGTGATATTGGGAAAGCAATTTTGACTTATAAGTAATAGAGACTAATAATTGTTACACATGCAACAATCATAAATTAAATAAAAAAAATTAAAACTAGTGCAGTGCTATAACATGATCCCAAAATCTTCATATCGCCTTGGCATCTTCAACCTGTCCAGTAGTCTACTAAATATCTATGAGATTGAAAACATTAAAGGGGATAGTGGGAAAGCGACACACGGATCGTAAAACAACATAATTTAAAAACATACATCCGGATCATGATATACCACAATTTCTTATCGTTCCTTTCTTGTGAAAAAGTATGATTGAGCATGCACGGATTGAAAATTAAAATTTTAAATCCGCTAGTAATATGTATTTAATTCGAATCTCATCCGAAATATAAATACACATATTAATGAATTCCAAAATAATTCAGATTATATATACATATACATATCTTATCCGTAATATAGATAAGTATACACATGTATAAGAATGAATAAAATATAATGAACTAAAAATTCGAAATTGGCAGAAAATTGTTCAAGCCATTCGAATTATAATCTGGAAGAATTTGTCACGATAAGAAAAGTATGGTTCATATTCCTGTTTCAGAAAAGTACATATGGGCCGGAAACGGATTCACGAGCCAAAAGTTACAGCCAAAACAAAATTGTCCGATACACAAAAACAGCTCATCAACCAACGAATGCCAAAATAATTCGGATCTTATCCGAAAAATTAGAAACTAAATCTCCCGAAATTCTAAAAAATATTCTGAATATAAATCGGATCTAATTCAAAATTTTCAAATTTTTATTCCATTTAGATCTTATCCGAATAATTAGGCAGTAGGATTTAATCCAATTCCTAATTCCATTCAGATCTCATCTGGAAAAGCAAAATAATATCACAAAATATTTTTAACATAATTTATGAGTATAAATTTGGATCTAATTCAAACTTTTGAATTTTCATGTCCATTCACACCTCATCCAAATAATTTGGGAGGAGGATTTCATCCTATTCCTAATTCCATTCAGATCTGATTCGAAAAAATGTACAATTTCAAAAAATGTTTTTACCATAAGTTATGAGTATAAATTCGGATCTAATTATTTTTTTTTAATTTTCATGTCCATTCATATCTCATCCGAATAATTAGGCAGTATGATTTTATCCAATTCCTAATTCCATTCAGATGTTATCCGAAAAATAATAACAAAAATCAGAAAATATTCAAAATATTATCATGAATATATATCAGATCAAATTCAAAATATTTGAATATCATATCCTTACAAAATTCAGAATCAAATATACACATATAAATTCTGAAATTAATAAATAATTCCAAAAATTAATAAAAAATTAATTCCAAAAATAAATCCCCAAAAAATCAAATTACAGATTTATATGTCAAATAAGGTAACCCGAATATAATAAAGAACCGATGGCTCTGGTACCACTCCTGGGTTTTGGGCAGCAAAATGCAGTGGAAAAACAAAAAAAAATCTCTGCCCAAAAGTAAGCAACCGGATCTGAAGTTCTTACTATAAACGAAATTACAAGAATATGAGGGACTTACATTGCAAACTCAAAAGCAAGGATGTCAGACTGTCCGAGAAAATGATCTTAAGCTCTACCGGTATCCACATGAATGTGATAGGATTGCCCGCATGGAACGTGCCATCGTTCTCTTCTTGTTAACACATTTTAATTCCCATGTAAGTAAGCATGATTATCTCAAGTATAAGAATAAAACACCTTATCATTATTGAGGACCACACCGATGACATATAACCCAGCAGTGTCCTCAAGTTGAGCCTGTCTAATGAACTTGTTCACTAACAAGCATCTATGTTATTATCTCAGTATCTCTATACTCATGGCTAGTGAAATATAGTCATCAATTAATCTACATACCGGTCTATTAATTATTAATGTCCCAAATTAATAATATTAGACCAGAGACAATTAGAATATTATGCTTATTAGAAAATGTAACATTCCACAATTAAGTCACATTTAATTAGCTACTAAACATAACATTCAAGGACTAAATATTAATAAAGAAAACTCATAATAATAGAAAACATAAAATGAGTTTGTGATTTTATTATTTAATGAGCATCAAATATCCATTAATAAATCATAAATTATGATTGTCCTAGAGCATATTCTCAACACACGATAAAATGAGTTTTAGACTCATTTAATACACACACACACACACACACACACACACACACACACACACACATATATATATATATATACACACACATACACATACACATACACATACATACATATAGGGAGTGGATCAGATGAGAAGTGCTCTTAGACTGAGAACTGCGAAGTTTAACTAATAGACTAAAAACACGAACTTTTAATCAATAAATCATAACTTATAGTCCCCGTCGAAAACAATTACGAAAATGTCACTGCAAAAAAATAAGCGTGGAAACCTTGAAATTTTTTGGACGCGGTGGCATTTTCGTAATTATGATGGAGAGCTTTATAAATTATGATTTATTAGTTATACGTTCGTATATTCAGTCTATAAGTTTGCTGCGTTGTAAGATTAGATCCACATCCAAAGGCTGAGATTGCTTCTCACTTCTCATTTTAAGGGGGATTTCTCACCTGATTTTTTCTCCAGACACACACACACACACATATATTTATAATATTCCTTAAAATTAATGTGATACTTTATATGATAGGTTGATAATTATTTGGGAAAGTACATAAAATGTACTTATGGTTTGGGCCGTTTTCACATAGGGGCATGTGTTTCGTTTTTTAACAAAGTGGGACATGTGTTTCAATTTCGTTATCACACATGGGACATGACGTTTGACGCCGTTGGAAAAATTAATTCCGATTTTCGAAAGTTTCCGTAAAATTAAAAGAAAAATACAAGGAGGTGCGCCTCTCCAGATCATCTTTCTTTTTTGTTTCCAGTCACTCTGTCGCCAGAAAGTCCATAAAAAAGTGATATTAGCGAATTCGTTTTTAAAAAATAATCCAAATAGAGCTGAAAAATCCAAAGATAACTATAGTTTGTTGGTCTCCTTGACGAGACGCACCTCCCAATTTTTTTTTTAATTTTTTAGAGACGTTTGAAAATCGTTAAACGTCATACCTCAGCTGTGATAACAGAATTGAAAAATCCAAAGATAACTACAGTTAGTTTTTCTAACGACGTTAAACGTCATGCATCAGCTGTGATAAGAGAATTGAAACACGTGCCACTATCTCAAAACCACAGTTACCTTTTTTGTATTTTCCCTAACAATTATTGTAAGGAAATAAATCAATTACAAGAGTCAATGGGCCATTAGGAAAATGTGTTACCGTGGAGGAAAACCGTGGTCTTGAATTGTGCATGCCCCCGACCGAATAATTGACGGGTAGGAACCGGATTAAATTAAACAATCCACAAAAAGAAGAAAGAGTCAAAGCGCCAGTTATTCTATTTGCAGATTCTCCCGCAATTCGCGTCTTCTTCCATCTATCTATACACATACATGAAGAAAACAAGATTATGGTAAAACACAAATTTGAAGCAATAAAAATTTATATATGTTCAATATTAATTTCATTTTTCGCTAACCTCATTGATCTACCTATTGTAATATATATCTGTTGTTACCTAATCAATTATTCATGAACTGAAATGAGATTCAACTACGGGGCATCATCTTCAAGATTTTCACTCTACTAAATCACAAAACACTTGATTATTTGGCAGTGTAATTTCTAACCATTGATTTCACTGTAACCATTTTTTGACAAGAATTTGAATGCAACCATAAAAATCCAATTTTTATACGTTTTGACCTAACTAAACAATGGGTGAAATAATCTAAATTCTAACAGAAAATGGGAGTGTACCTAATTATATTATATCCAAGAGTAGTGTAGTATATTACTCTTTCTCTCTCTAGTATATTACAAACTCCGACGAGTAGTAAATGAGAGGACTGTGAGCCCTCATTCCAGAACAAGTTGAACAAAAGGACTAAAGGGAAGGACAGAAGAAGAAAGAAAAAGGGGAGTTGGAAATGTCAAACTCCGATCACCAGAGCTACCCATACCCATACCACCACCACTCCGACACGGAAGTCATCGGAGCTGATAGGAAGCTGTACAGCGGCCCACTGAATCAGAGGGCCGGGAAAAGGAGCGCCCGGCTCAACCTCGCCGGAGACTCTAGCTCGTCGGAGTTAGGGATCCCGCCGGCCAAACCCTCAAATGAGGACTCCTACGTAGAGATCACCCTCGACGTCCGAGAGGACTCTGTTGCCGTCCACAGCGTGAAGACAGCCGCCGGCGCTGACGTGGAGGACCCGGAGCTTGCTCTGCTGGCAAGGGGTTTGGAGAAGAAGACCAACTTGGGATCCTCCGTGGTTAGAAACGCTTCTTCCCGAATACGGCAGGTGTCGCAAGAGCTGAAGCGTTTAGCTTCACTGACGACGCGGACCCATCACGGCGCCGGCAGGATTGACCGGAATAAGTCCGCCGCTGCTCAGGCTCTGAAAGGGCTCAAGTTCATCAGCAAGACGGACGGAGCCTCTGGCTGGGCCCCAGTCGAGAAGCGGTTCGACCAGCTAACTGCCTCCACCAGTGGGTTGCTCCCGCGGGCAAAGTTTGGTGAATGCATAGGTAATTACTTTTCTGGAGAATTGTTCATATTTTCTTGAGATCATGGTATGGCTGACAACTAGACGAATGGTTTGTGGAACTTGGTGATAATTAATTAGGTATGAACAAGGAGTCAAAGGAATTTGCTGACGAGCTATTCGATGCACTAGCTAGGAGGAGAAACATAACCTTTGATTCCATCAACAAGATACAGCTCCAAGAATTTTGGGACCAAATCTCTGATCAGAGTTTCGACACCCGCCTTCAAACCTTCTTTGATATGTAAGATCATAGTTAGGATTAATGTTAGGATGATGATCATAGAGCATTCCTAACTAATGGGCATGTAATTGTAGGGTTGACAAAGATGCAGACGGGGCAATCACTGAAGAAGAAGTCAGAGAGGTAGAGTCTGTCTATATTACTTGCTGTTAGCCTGTTACTAGTATTTTAGTTATTCATTTTAGTTTTGGGAATTGGGATTTATCTCTAAATTATTAGATTTTAGATTTGTATGAATGATCTGGCCATTTTTTATTGTGCAGATCATAAGCCTAAGTGCTTCTGCAAACAAGCTGTCAAATATCCAAAAACAAGCAGATGAATATGCGGCCATGATTATGGAGGAACTAGATCCTAGCAACCTAGGATACATCAAGGTACATTTTAGCTACAAGTTTGTGTCACAATATTTCTATAAACTCATATTTGAGTCTTCAATTAGTGAACAATTAATATGTGCGTTAGAGTCCCTAACAAATATTAACGGAACTTATTATGTTAGTTGTCCCACATGGCCACATCAGATGTCAACTGGATCCATATTGTATGTGGGCTCCCATTAAAAAGTGTGTGGTCCCTACGTGGTGTCAGATGTTGAACCTAAAGATATGTGCCACTTTAAAAAATTGCACAATCCAGATGGTATATCGGGATGAGGGGTGTGTACTTCTATGTGACGAGAAGAGAAATGCGTTGCACGATTAGATTAAGTGTGTAGTCGCGAGGAGTGGTAAAGAGTTTGTCCCATGGTTGGCTTAATATTAAATAGCAAGCTAAGTTGTAAGATCTTTAGCTATTCAAGTCTTAATAGTATATAAGTTCTTGGATTGAACTAACTAATAGATTATATTCAATCCTCAAGTGTAATTTAGCCAAGTGTATTATGACCAAATTGAATGACCTAATCTGATCAGAGTTCTATTAATCTGATTACATGTGCGACAGATTGAGAATTTGGAGATGCTGTTATTGCAAGCTCCAAGCCAGACAGTAAGGGGGCATGAGAGCCGCAATTTGAGCCAAATGCTGAGCCAAAAACTGAAGCCGACGGTGGAGCTGAACCCTCTGATCCGATGGTACAGAGATTTCAAGTACTTCATGTTGGACAATTGGCAGAGAGGTTGGGTGCTTCTACTGTGGATCGGAGCCATGGGTGGGCTGTTTGCTTGGAAATACATTCAGTATAAGAACAAAGCTGCTTATGATGTTATGGGTGCCTGTGTTTGTATGGCTAAAGGTGCTGCCGAAACACTTAAGCTGAACATGGCTATCATTCTCTTACCTGTCTGTAGAAACACCATTACATGGCTCAGAAACAAGACCAAGTTAGGCATTGCGGTCCCTTTTGATGACAACCTCAACTTTCATAAAGTAAGCGATCCAAGTTCCGATACTTGTTGCTCTGATTGCCAAGTCATTCGACTTCAAAACAAATTTGACATATAAGTCATTTGATTAATGTCTCAGCCCTCAGGTTTTAAGTTTTAACTAAAATTTAATGTCTTAATGTATCATGGATCAATTCATGTTAGCCTACCTCAAAATCTTTTGGGATTAAGGCTTGGATGTTGTTGTTGTTGTAATGTACCATGGGAGCCCAAGTTGTCCGATGTTGAGACCACCATTTACATTTGTTTTCTAGTGATTTTGGGCTTCTTGGAGCCATGTTTGAGTCGCACTTTAGAACCTTGCTGACTTTCTTTTTTGGGGATTTCACGGGTTGGGACTTGGGGGGATGGGGGAGATAATATTTGTTTTTTAAATCATTTTACATTTATATGGTTTGAAATAAACAACAACATCCAAGCCTTAGTTCCAAAAGAGTTCGGAGTCGGGTAACATGAATCGGAATATGATATCGGAGTTAAAAATAATAACTAGAGAAAAAGGGAGACAAACAGAACAGATCCATATGCTTTGAAATAAAGTAAAGAAAAAAACAATATATAAATACATGATCTAATTAATCATATGATTATTTCTAATCTTAACCTAATAAATAGAGATAACTTAGTAAATAAAAATTAACCCTTCTTTCTTATATGTTTTATCTTGACTGCAAGGTTATTTCAGATTAACAGATGATTATTCATATAATAATGTGTAGACGTTCTCGAGTTGTGATTGTAAACTCTTGTAATGGTGTCTCGCAGTGACAATACGTTACATTTCTTTAGGTGATAGCAGTGGCTGTTGCGATTGGGGTAGGAATACACGCAATAGCTCACTTGACGTGTGACTTCCCTAGGCTTCTGCACGCTAGCCGGGAAAAGTACGCTCCGATGGAGCAGTTTTTTGGGCATCAGCCACAAAACTACTGGTGGTTTGTGAAGGGAGTTGAAGGGGTGACAGGGATTATTATAGTGGTGTTGATGGCTATAGCTTTCACCCTGACTACTCCATGGTTTAGAAGGAATAGAGTGACATTGCCAAAACCCTTTAACAAGATTACTGGTTTCAATGCCTTTTGGTATTCCCACCATCTCTTTGTGATTGTATACGCTCTCCTCATTGTCCATGGTATCAAGCTCTATTTGACACATAAGTGGTACATGAAAACGGTTAGTATCCAATACATTTTCTTGGTGCTGTAAATATAAATTTGACATGGGATATTTTCATTGAAGATTTAGTGAATTGGTAAATTGCAGACATGGATGTACTTGACTATTCCTGTGATAGTTTATGCTTGTGAAAGATTGCTTAGGGCATTGAGGTCTAGTGTTAAGCCTGTCAAGATTCTCAAGGTAATAATTGCGTTAATTTTATCATCTTTATTTATTTGTTCTTCATCCATTCCACAAAGATAGGTCACATTTGACTTTTTGGTCAATGATGTTTAACTTTGACACATGATTGCCTCAAAATGAATTCTAACATGAAGGTAATTTAAAAATGTTACGAGTGCTATCATAAAAGTACAAATTTTATAGTTTTCACTAAAATATATCGAATAGATATATTGGTTAAATAGAAGCCTTTAACAAAAAAGGAAAATGCGACCAATCTTTGTTATTAATTGTGGGATGGAAGAAGTAATTAATTCTCGAATGTTATTAATTGTTTTCCATGTTTGATTGATCCTGCAAAATGTGAAGGTGGCTGTCTATCCTGGAAATGTTTTAGCACTTCATATGTCAAAGCCTCAGGGCTTCAGATACAAAAGTGGTCAATACATGTTTGTCAACTGCTCTGCAGTTTCTCCTTTTGAATGGTGAGGGCTGCCCCTGTAAAACATCAGTTTTGTACTCATTAATTCTCTTTTTTTTTCTTTCCATAAATTAATGTTTCCCATTAGTTTGAATTTTTCTTAATGTTTTGGTGATCCGTGTTCACATTACAGGCACCCCTTTTCAATTACATCTGCCCCAGGAGATGACTATGTTAGTGTCCACATTAGAACGCTTGGTGATTGGACAAGACAGCTCAAAACTGTATTCTCAGAGGTAAATATTGTATCATTTACCTCTTTAAAACACACAAATATTTACTCCGTAATAAATATAAAATTTTACATTAACCACCATCGAACACAATCAGCAAAGCTATCTTGATGATGTCTTCAATTATCGTGTTGCATTTGTTTGTCTAGGTATGCCAGCCACCACCTAATGGGAAAAGTGGACTCCTAAGAGCAGATTTTCTGCAAGGGAATGATATTCCCAAGTAAGGGTCATTTTATCATTCTTGAAAGCAAACTTCTATGTGGTTTAATGCTATTTCCCATACAAGTGGGATAATGCCTCTGATTATTACTGTTTTGGAATTTCTTCTCATTATTCCTTGATAATCTCTTTACCTATGTTCGACAATTAGTTGGCACTATAATGTTAGACAATTACTTCACACTAAATCTCTTGTCACCTGATGCTAATTATTGGGATTAAGGTGGTAATGATGAGCAAACCATACCTTCGGACATATGTACACCGCTTTTTTCCACTAGCCCTATGACTATTGTGTTATTTAACACTGTGGCACCTTTTTTTTAATTCTTTACACTTTTAGCCATCTTACTATTGTAACAAGGACTAAATGTAGAAATGACTATCAAACACGTGATCAATATCTAGTTCAAAAAAGAATCACTTGAAAGTTGAGGATATTATATTAATGGGTATTGATGGACCATATGGAGCACCAGCACAAGACTACAAGAAATATGATGTGGTTCTGCTAGTAGGCCTTGGAATAGGAGCAACCCCAATGATCAGCATAGTGAAGGACATTGTGAACAACATGCAGGCAATGGAGGAAGAAGACAGTGGGGTGGAGAATGGGCATGGAGTTGGCAGCAACAATGGAGGAAGAAACTTTAAGACAAGAAAGGCATACTTCTATTGGGTAACGAGGGAGCAAGGGTCATTTGACTGGTTCAAAGGGATCATGAATGAAGTGGCTGAGATGGACCATAAGGGAGTCATAGAGATGCACAACTATTGCACCAGTGTCTATGAAGAAGGCGATGCACGTTCCGCCCTCATCACTATGCTTCAGTCCCTCCACCATGCCAAGAGTGGTGTAGACATCGTTTCTGGAACTCGCGTTAAGTCTCATTTTGCCAAGCCTAACTGGCGCAACGTATACAAACGTATTACCCTCAATCACACCAATGGCAAAGTTGGTGAGTTATAATTTTTCTCATCTTTCTATGCTTTCATAAGACCTCCCACCAAGATTTGCCATTTCTGCTTTCTTGATAAAAAGTTAAAGTTTCGACCAATAGTTTCATTTTTTTTCATTTACCCCAGTGCCGCAAAGCACAGAGAGACTGTTTCCGGATGACCCATAATGAAAATCGCGTCCAAAATTGCATGGACTTACTGCTGCTTCATAACAAAGAAGCGCAAACAGTTTAGTGAGCCATTTTGCTTTATTCCATCATAACCTCAAGCCAAAAAATAATGAATCTTTGACTCCATTGAAAATGATGGAAATTTTCGACCAATAGTATGTTTTTATAAAAATTATTTATGATATGAGAGTAATACAAAAAGTTCTTTATAAAAAATCACTCTTACAAAAGTATAAAATTAATAATTTTTCACTTAGAAGTCGTAGTCAAGGTTATGTTATAATTTTTACATCCAATAATTATAACTTTGGTTTGCGAACTTTGGCATATCTGTTTTTGCAGGGGTTTTCTATTGTGGGGCACCAGCATTGACAAAAGAGCTAAGACAACTAGCCTTGGATTTTTCTCGGAAGACATCCACCAAGTTTGATTTCCACAAAGAAAATTTTTGACCTAGTAATTACTAAAATTAAGAATAGATCGCACAACTACTACCAATGTCTAGTGTACAGAGGCTCTTGATTGTTGAATTAATATTGTATCAGTTTTGCATAATGTTTGTATCGACTGGAATATTTAAAAAATGTCGTGCCATATGTTGACAGTTACACGGGTAGTGGAATTTCTGTAGATATAAATGTCTAATCATATACTTCCTGTGTTTCTGTTTGTTTTTGTTTGACACACTTTCCTTTTTTGGATGTTTCAAAATGAATGACACGCTTCCTTATTCCCCAGGGATGGACTCGGGCCGGGTGGCCCGACCCGGAACCGGCCCGGGACCGGTACTGTTCCGGCCCGGCCCGACCCGGTGACCCGGTCAGTGACCGGTCCGGGTAGGCCCGGCCCGTGGGTTTTCCGGTCCAGGCTCGGGTCACCCAAAACAAGACCCGGCCGGGCCCGGTTCGGGCCAAAAACTATTTTTTTTCTTTTTTTTCAATTTTTTTTAAGTTTTCGGGTTGGGCTGGGTATTTTGGGCCATTTGGGGTGGTTTGGGGGGTTGGGGGTGGGAGGGGGTTAATTAGGAAGAGGAAAAAAAAAAAAAAAATATAATGGGCCCGGCCCGGCCCGGACCGGACCGGACCCGGACCGGACCCGGTGGTTACCCGGGCCGGTCCCGGGTCCACCATTTCTGACCCGCCGGCCCGGACCCGAGTCCATCCCTATTATTCCCTTATTTGTTAAACAAATTTATACCAAAATAGTGACAAACAGTAAAATTTACCCCTCAGTAACATTTTTTCCTTAATTCTTGACGACTCAAACTACTCCCTCTGTCCCCTTTTAAATGTCACATTTTACCATATTGGGATGTCCCTATTTAATTGTCACATACCTTATTTGGTAAAGTTTGTGTGGCTCAAAATCATTCTTACTTTATTCTTACTTTATCTATTAATATCAACCACACAAACTTACTTTTCTTAAAACTCGTGCCACCCTCTTCCGGGACATTTAAAAGAGGATGGAGGGAGTATGTCAAACAAATAGAAAAGGAGATAGTACTTCATGTAGTGGACTACTTTACCATTTTCAAAAAAGTGATTTTTTTTTTTTTAATTTTACTTTCCCTTTATACCCGCAAAAAAAATCTGCCACCTGTAGTAAACAATCTGCCACCTTTCCATTCATAAAGCAAAAAGTGACTGCCAGTTTGCCATTACAAGAGGAGAGAGGGAATTTTCGTACAAAAGGGATCAAAGATTTCAGTTTTGTCTTCCTCCAAATTTCTATTTTTAGGGCGGGTTTGTTTTAAGGAATGTCAGATTATCATGAGAATGTTAGATTGCTAGGTATGTTAGAATGATATGAATGTATTCAGTTTGTATGGTTAAGATTAAATGAATGTGATATTAAATGCGGTGGTTGGACGTTGGACAGATGAGCTTCTGTTGAGATCGAGGGCCTTCGGTATTGAGGTCGAGGGCTGTGTGACCAATGGCTGGTACGATGTGGCAAAATTTCCAGTCGTGTGGTTGGGCCAAAACGGGGCGATGTCCCTAAGTTTGAGGCCTTCGGCTCTGATGCCGAAGGCGGTCCCATGTGGGATGTGGTCACGTGGGTTACATTGTGCTTGGACTGTTGTATTTGGGGCGCCTATGTCCGTTGGGCCCATTTGAAGTAGCAGGAGTATGTGGGCCGGGTCCTCGAGCTATATACTCCATCAGGAACCCCCACTCCCTTTGCCGAGAGCTTCTCAAGGGAAAGAGGAATAGTTCTCTGAATTTACCGAAGGCTGTCTTGTTGTTGTTGATTTTCGTGATATGTCGGCGTTTTTTTACTTTTTACCGAGGGGAGTCTCCCAGTCCCCCACTCCTTTAGGCCGAAGGTGATAAACCCAGTATACTAACAATCATACAACCAAAGCAGTTAAGAAGAAACAGATATAAGATATCGACAAGATTAAAACCAAATCTGGTATACCGTATGAAACCCCGCTGCTCTCCCTGGAGAAGGAGAGCAGCGGAAACCCTTCTCTCTCTATCTCGCCCCTGCGTCTCTAAGCCTCTATCCGTAGTTAGGGTTCCCGTAAGTTAGCCTCCTTTTATAGGAGAAGTTGGCTAACTTACGGGTTACAAGGAAGCCCCCCGGGCTGATACACATTTGTGGCCCGTATTGCACGTTTAATTAATAACTACACAAATACAAAGATATTTAATTAGATTGGACACCATAAAATATTCCTAACAATCTCCCCCTTGGTGTTCAATCATGTTCAATCAGCATTGCAGCGCGAATATCTTTGTCTTTGTTGTTATTCAGCTTCCTTTTACTTTGAATTGACTTCAGAGGAAGGCTATCTGAAGAAATCCTTGCAATCTCCCCTTTGATGTCTTCTTGACAATTTGATCTTTGATGCTGGGGGTTGAGGGACCTTCTGTATCTTGCATGTAGTCCTTGCCTTCCAGAAGTTGCTCTTGATCAACTTGGATGAAGTCCGGTGACGCCTCTAGAATGAATATTCTTTGGAGAATAGGAGACGCCCATGGAATTCGTCTTCAGGACACGAGTATTTGACATCTGTCTCCTCCACAATGTAGTCTTTTTGACTATTTGGAATGAATGCATTTGAGGAGAACTTGTCGGTGGCACAGCGGAACATAATGATTGTTGATTTGTGAGTGTAGCTGACCATTTGATTTGAGTTGTAGAGATAGAAGAGAAGGTGTTGATTTTTGTGATGGAGGAGTGAAGTGTCCCAGAATGATTTGTTCAGTGTTAACAACATGTGGACCACTCTCCCCCTCATGACGATCCGATGAATCGGGACGTCATGCTTTTATTCTTTTATTCTGGAAAAAAGGAAACAAACAGAAAGAGTAAATGATAAAAGCCCCCCGGGGTCGTGTAGACCCCCGTTTTCATCACTATAGAGATAAACTCTAAAGCAATGGCCTGCAAATGTTGGTGATTCTTATGTTGCAACAGCAGGACTTCCTTCCAATTATTGGTCTACATCTGTAATAGATGAGCCCTATGGAAGTTCTCGCAAGTCTTGAAGACTAGCAACTGACTCTAAAATGTGTTTGTGTCCTAGAAAATTTCAAAACATTTGGGAGTGAGTAACTAGACACGACGTGATCAATGAGAGTTCAGTGGCATGGGGCTGAGGCCACTGTAGTCAGTATTACTTGTCTCGTAAGGAGGTAGTAATGAGAGATGCGGTTCCCCATGAAATATGATTAAACACCTGTCTGTTGGGAGACAAGTGAGTGGTCTTGGATAGGGTTCAACATGCATTGTTGGTTCTACCCGGGATCTGATTAAATCAGTCCTGAACCTATTTGGGAATTGTCCAGAGTATTTGAGTGGCTAGGAGTAAATGTTCAATGGATAATAGGCAGTTGAGGTAGCAGACTCATCATTGATTATTGTTTTTCTTCTCACTTGAGCCTTCTGCTTCCTAACGCTCATAATGTTCACTCACTCACTCGCTCACTCACTCACTTACGCTCGGCTTTGTCCCTTGGGTTGGCTTAGTTGGGTTTACTAAGCCATAGGGACATGTTCTCTCATTACTTTCTTCATTTTCTCTCTGTACTTCCCCTCAACTGGAGCACTCGGTATGCTTTGTCATTGTTAGGCACCGGGAAGGATAACATTGAACACTCCCCCTAAAATGTTGCATCCTTTGAGAGTTTCCTTGCTTTGTCGGTGTAAGGCGCTAGGAGGAGAAAACTGAGACTCCCCCTCAGAATGTGCAAGGTTTGATTGCTCACAGTTTGTCATACCCGCCATGTGCGTGGAGCAATCTGAACAAGTACCACACATGACGGTTTCCCTGAACTCATCATGTAGAATTTCAGCATATTGATGATCACATAATGTTGATGAGTCAGGGGAGGCTTCGGTGGTTGATTGTTGATTGTTGTAGAATGACCGTTGACGCGAGGTTGATTGAATTATCTACGATTTTCGGACCTCTACCGTGAAGTTAGAAAAGCTTTGACCTCAGGGTTGACAATGAAAGAATTTGAACAGATTCGCCTAAGTTTTGACCTGGACATCGGTGATTTACAATGTTTGTCAGAAAACTAACGTTTTGACCCTCAAGGACTGCGAGTGAGGGCGTGTGAGAGAGGGTTCTGGGGCATATCCCAAGAATTAATGTAGATCTTTTCGTTAGCTTTCCAACAAAAAAAGTTTGCTCAAGTCGGATCACCGAGTCAAAGGTTATGGCCAAAACAGTGCGGTGTCGCAGAAAATCTCGAATTTTTGAGTTTTTGAGGAATTTCTTCGAAGTTGAGGTTCTCGATGATGAATATCGAGAGCAGGTGGATTTTAAACAAAATTCTAAGGCAATACCTCGAAATCTGAATCTCGGGGTTTACATCTCGAGATTACAATCTCGAGGTTTAAATCTCGAGATTACAATCTCGAGGTTTAAATCTCGAGATTACAATCTCGAGGTTTAAATCTCGAGATTACAATCTCGAGGTTTAAATCTCGAGTTTTAAATCCCGAGATTACAATCTCGAGGTTTAAATCTCGAGATTACAATCTCGAGTTTTAAATCTCGAGATTACAATCTCGAGGTTTAAAACTCGAGATCTTAATCTCGAGTTTGCCTCAAAGAATAATGGCGAAATCCACCTGCAAAACAAACATCAAAATATCGAAATCTGCAGAATTTCAAAATGTTTGGAACATCGAAAACTTTGGAGTTTCGAAAACATTAGAAAATCGAAAACTTGCTGTTTGAAAAACATCAGAACATCAAAAACTTCTAAAAACTTTGATAGGCAGAGATTCATTCAGATATCTAAAAATGTAAAGCTTCGAAGTGTTCTGAACAGGAAAAATATCAAGTTTAGAAGAAATCAGTGATTCAAGAAACTCCAAACTTTGAAAAATTCAAAACATCGAGAAATTTTGAAAATCTCGAAATCTTTAAAAAGTAGATATTAAGTATATAAGTAGATAATAAGTATATAAATAGATATAATAATTGTATAACTAATTTAAATAGATATAATATATATTAATAGGTGTAGAGAAAATTGGATATAATGAAGATGAAGATGATTAAAGAGTATTAGAGAGTATAGAGAATTGGAGAATAGGTATAGGAAAATGTTTAAAAAAAGGTGTATTCTTTTAGCCCCACCCACCCCAACCCCCAAACCCCCAACCTGCACAGACCCACCCCCAACGGATCTATAGCCGTTGCCAACAGCTAGGAGGCAACCCCATGGCCCCAAACCAATCCAAACATTTTCTTTTGAATTTATGGCCGTTGGGCCCCGCCCCAGCCGGGTCATTCCACCTAACATCGATCCCGTAGCCCATTGTTTATTGCCTCGGTTTGGGCCCCGAGCTTGGTCCCGGTTCACCGGACCAGGTCAAGGCTGCGCAGTATCGGGGCAGGCCGGGTACCGGGTTGGGCCGTCCCGTCCTGTCCTAGTCCACCCCTAACTATGATGATTCTTAATTGGATTTCCCACCATAACCACAAGGTGCTTTGACTGCTTTCCAGTAGTTACAAAGCTACAATAAGGTATCTATCAAGGGAGCTATCATAATCAGGTGCAAACAAATCACCCCGCCTCCACCCCCCTATTTTGGGAGTTTATACGCAAAAAATGGTTTGATATACCCGACTAGGGGTGGACTTAGGGGTGGACTCGGGCCGGGCCAACCGGCCCGGAACCGGACCGGCCCGCCACTGTGCGGGCCCGGACCGGCCCGGGAACCGGTTCGTTGGGCGGTTCGGGCCACCCGGCCCGGTGGATTCTCGGTTCGGGCTCGGGCCCTTCAAAAGGTGAACCGGCCCGGCCGGTTCGGGCCCGGGCCGGGCCAATTTTAATTTTTTTTTTGAATTTTTTTTGAGTTTTTGGATTGGGCTGGTTATTTTGGGCCATTTGAGGTGGTTAGGGTTGGTTTGGGGGTGAGGGGGAGGGGTGGGGGTTAACTAGGAAAAGCCCCCAAACAAAAAAAAAATACCCGAGGCCCGGCCCGGCCCGGCCCGGACCCGGGGTTTACCCGGGCCGGTTCCGGGCCTCCCCTTCTTGAACCGAGGCCCGGCCAGGCCCAGGCCCGAATCGGGCCTGAACCGGCCCGAGTCCACTCCTAGGTGGACTGGGCCCAGGACGGGGCTAGAGCGGGCTCCGGGTCAAGCTCCGAGTCCTGAATATTCAGGCCCGGTACGGGCCTGAGTTTGTACAGGGACCGGGCCAGGTCCAGGTCAGGTCGGGTCGGGCCTCAATTTTTTTTAGTGTTTTTGGTCTTTTCGAATTAATTCCAACCTCCCCACCCTTCCCCCCAAACCGCCCAGCCCTACCCACCTACAGGCCAACCCAACAACCCAATGAGAAAAATTAAAAAAAAAAGTAATTGGGCCCGGAACCCAGCCCAGCCAGGCCGGTTCTCATTTGTCGAAGCCCATAGCCCACCCATTGAAGATCCCAGGTCGGACCCCAGTCCCAATCCCGATTTACCGGGCCGGATCTGGCCTGCACAGTGCGAGATGGGCCATGCCCAGGGTCAGGCCTGCACAATGCTAGGCCAAGCCCAGGGTCAGGCTGACTCGTCCCAGTCCACCCCTACCCCCGACCCACTCACTTGCTTATCGTATAGGCTGTAAGCTTGTCAGCAAACGGTGCCCCACTAAAAGTATACTACTGTTTCATTACATAATACTCCCTCCGGTCCTAAATAAACTTCACACTTTGAATTCACATAAATTAAGGAAATAAATTTGACTTTACTGTAGAGTACACTGTTGTGACACTGTTTGGCACTGTTTTGATGTAGATAATTTGCCAAATAAGGAAGAGAGAAGAAGTGTGAAGTTTATTTTGAACCTACCCAAAAAGTAAAGTGTGAAATTTATTTAGGAACGGAGGGAGAACTACGTATGTAGTAATAATATTTGGGCCATGACACATTCAAACAAGGCTTAGACAAATGTATGCAACAATTTCATACTTTTATTTAGCCATGTTTTGCCACTATTAGTTAAACTTATTACATGCAAAATACATAAAAAATATTAGTTTTACTTAATATATTTCTAAAAACAACATAAAATAGCAATTCTAATTTGTAAATCCACGACTGGCGCACGGATACAGCCAGCTGTCGCACCTCCATGTTCACTGCCGCTACCAGTGTTTGCTTGGAACAGAGTCTAAGGAATAATGACCAAGCCTTCCTGTCCGGTATAAATTGAGTAATTTAGAAGCAACCCTGGGTAAATCATCTACTGCTTCTGAGGACAGATGGAAAGCTTCCGCCAGATTTGCATACTCAACTTTGATGAGATGTAACAAGCTGTTTTCTTCATCCAGGTTTCCACTGAATGACGAAATGCAATGATAAAGCGTTTTCCTAACATTGTTCACAATAAAATCCTGCAGCAATGGTCGTCATATATCATTTCAAGCTGTTGGGGCAAGGCAAGTAATATACAGGAAGAAAGGGTGATTTAGAAAGCTTGATGAAGAATTTAGTAAGGCACTCAGTGGAATTAAAAATCCATTTTGTGTTCTATGTTTCCTTATTAAGATTTAGGAAAATGGATAAGAATAATCTCAACTATTAGTGATCTGATTGAAATAATACAAAGTATCAATTATCTCAAAATAATCCCAACTATTGAAAAAACTTCTCAAAGTAATCCGGTGACTTATATTATCCATAAATAACTTATAATATTTATGAGTAAGTGGAGTATTTTGAGAAGATTTTTCAATAGTTGGGATTATTTTGAAATAATTGATACATTGGATCATTTCAAACAGACCACTAATAGTTGAGATTATTCTTGTCCATTATTCCTAAGATTTATATCAAAATTTAATATTATTAAGATAAAAGAAAGCATTTAACACAAAAATGTTTTCTAAATTTTAAATTTTTCAACGCATTTTTTAATACTTCAATTCAAAAACCATAATTATATGTTGGAGAAAATAAATAAAATACCCCCAACTAAATATAAGTATGAGGCTCCCACACTATACTTGTCAATGTTAAAGTAATAATGTGAAAGAACCGTACCCTGTGTGAACATAAACAAGCAAGAAAACATGTAGCTGTCATTTTTAAGCCACTTGAGCCATGAAACTTCTATTTGGAGAAAACATTAAAATCCATGCTTCTAATTAGGGAAAGCATGAACCGAAATTTCAAAAACTACAATTAGAATATGCTTGCTGAAAATCAATTTGATGGATTTGAACCATTTTATGATGGTGATAATTTTGAAAATTATTTGCTCACCCCAACTGGAAGTGAGAACGAAGGTGAGAGTGGTGCGAAGGAGTGTTACATACAAAATCGATAATGATGCTACACTCAAAATGTTAGTATGCAAAGTGGGCATGCAGTTTGGTTCAACTGAAATTTTCAAAAACAGGTTGTGAGATATGCTGTAATTGCAGGGTATAACACTAGGTTTAGTAAAAGTGAAAAGCTGAAGTTGCAGCCAAATGTAAAGAGGGTTGTGTTTGGAGAATATATGCTTCTTGGGACGCACTTAAAGAGTCATTTGTTGTGAAGTCCTTGAATCCTAACCATACGTGCAATAGACAAGATTATGAGAATATACAGGCTAAACCTAGTTGGTTAGCTGAAGAGTACAGAAAAAATCCTAATCGGTCTAGGAAATCTCTACAACAATCTGTGATGGAGAGAATTGGTGTGCGTATTCAGAGGCCTGCTTGCTATAGTGTAAGAAAACAAGCTCACGAGATGTTACATGGGACTTTACAAGGATACTATAGTAAACTTGATCCATACTTGGGGGAGGTGATGAGAGTTGATCCTAATTTGACTTCATTGATAAGTCCAATATTCCTAGAGAATCAGATATATTTAAGAAACTTTATGTCAGCTTTCCGGGATTGAGAGATGAGTTCGTGATAGAGAGCAGGAAGAGCATGGGACAGGACCGGGCTTGCGCCCACTTCTGTGGGCCGGGTTAGGGCTGTCATTAGAGTATCTATTATTATTAAATTAATGTTATGTTTTAGTTTGGGCCTATTATTAGTAGAGTACTTAGTAGAGTTAGTATGGGCTTAATTAGGATTTGTTAGAAACCTCACCAGTCCAGAACAATTACAGTAGATTATCAAGATAACAAACTGAGTTCTTATTTGATGAAGAAGTTCGGTTACACAGAGAAGCAGTAACAAAGGCCGAAGCCTCCCAAAAGAGAAGAGAATAACTCTCTAATCTTTCCCAGTCCCAGTCCAAAAGTCACAAAAAGCCCCCTTACTCCCTTCCCTCTACATCTATTTATACTATAATACTGCCTAAGCCCCTATTACAACTATTATTATTATTATTATTATTCTTTCTATTACTAATCTAATAGGTAGGTCTCTATCAATACTCCCTCCCTAAACATCCACCTTGCCCTCAAGGTGGGCGGTAGGAGACAGTCAAGATCTTTTGCTCCTTCTTCTTCCTTGCACTCCTACCTTCCCAATATCTCACTGGTTTCCGAGCAAAGAGCTTCAGTATTAGATCTTCACAACTCTGAGATGTTTCTGCAGCATAGAATGTTTCTGGTGAAGTATCTTTCTCTTTCTTAGTCTTAAGGCCTTCAATAGCCACCCATATTTTCATTCTTTCCTGAGGTATACCCATTACAACAGCAGCAGAAATTATATTCATGTCCTGAACATCAGGATTCTCATCCCTTTTAACCTGCTCAACTTCATTTGACTTTTCTACCTTTGGGTTAGGATTAACATCCAATTTATGTGGTTCTATCATGCTTTTCAGTAAAACAATGTCATCCACTGCTGCACTTCGAATACACCCAACATCATGCCACCCCACCACTTCCATAGAATTCCCCCACCAAAAACTCTCTGCCACTGCACATTTTTTAAAAGAAGAGTCCATTTTCAAAATGGTACAATCTTTGCTACTATGAAGAAACACATAAACCAAGCAACACTTTGAGGCTGAGAATACAAAGTCAGCTCCTACATCACCAAGTACATCAGCCCTACTTATTTGGTTCCTTCCTTTCTTGTCAGATGAAGGAAGTTTGTTTTTTCTAAAAGAACTCAAATCTTTGCTGCCATTCTTCAGGCTGGAGGAATCATGAAGCATAGAATCCAAATTGATGTAGCAGTATCCTTTGTGAGTTTTCCCCAAAAAAACTACTATGACAGGAAAAGAATAACCCTCCATTTCCCTCTGCAATCCTCTGTCCAGAGTTGTAAGGAAAGGGATAATACCTTCCTTATTGTCTGATGAAAATCTCCTAGATTGATTAACCTCCTCTTCAGAGTCTAGTTCCGTAACTGAAGGGACCACCAGGTTTAATTTTGTGTTCATTCTTGTTGGTGGGGTCCCCTGAAATTCTTTTTCTGATGCGCCTATGTCAAAAGTTCTTGAAGCTGATGAGCGGTGAAAGTCCGCAAGGGAAGAAGCATGTAAACTGATAGAATAACTCAGCGACGAAGATGAAGATTCTTCTCTCACCCGCGTTTTTCTTGGACACGAACAATAAGCCGTCGAAGAAATCTTTCTCGATCGGAAATTAGAAGTAACACTTCGCGACTGAGAACTAGGAGAAATAGTGCGCGACTTTGTTTGCGAGCTTTTGAGCGATGGCGACCTACCTCTTTTCCGCGATTCAGTCTGCGAACTTCCGCGCTCCCTCTTTTCCGCGATATTCCCAATTTTTCCGCGCGAAGCCTTCTGTGAGTGCGAAACAGAAGAAACAGTTCGCGACTCCATATGCGAACTGGTGAGCAACTGCGATGAACCATTTCTAGGGTTCCCTGCTCGACGTGCTATGTTACCACTCTCTCCCTGATCGCAATTTCTTGCGTGTCCATGGTGCGCAGTACTTGATCTATGCGAATGACTCCTCGAGATTCTGACTTTCAATTCTGCGATGCTAGCTTGCATCGCCGCTTGCATCACGGCCATATTAGCCGCTATATTCGCCATCCTAGCTTGCATTTCACGCTGATTCCTCTCCACTTCAGTGAGTCGTCCCTCCATTTTCAGGCGTGGGTATCTCAGCGATCGACGGCTCTGATACCAATGTTAGAAACCTCACCAGTCCAGAACAATTACAGTAGATTATCAAGATAACAAACTGAGTTCTTATTTGATGAAGAAGTTCGGTTACACAGAGAAGCAGTAACAAAGGCCGAAGCCTCCCAAAAGAGAAGAGAATAACTCTCTAATCTTTCCCAGTCCCAGTCCAAAAGTCACAAAAAGCCCCCTTACTCCCTTCCCTCTACATCTATTTATACTATAATACTGCCTAAGCCCCTATTACAACTATTATTATTATTATTATTCTTTCTATTACTAATCTAATAGGTAGGTCTCTATCAGGATTTAATTAATTTGGGCTTGATTAGGGTTTCTCTTAGAAGGCTATTTATACCCCTCGCCAAGGTTCATTCTAGCTTATCTTGAAATAAAATTGGTTTTAGCCTTTTGGCTCTGGGCAACGGTATTTTTATCGTTGATTATCTGGGCAACGGTTTACCTCGTTGATTTATATTTTTCTGCTACACAACAATTTGTAAGTGCATGCATATTTGTGCTATGTTTAGATGGATGCTTACTAAAAACATTTCTGGGTGGGATGTTGCTATGTGCTGTAGGAAAAGCATTGAAATATTTAAGCTATGTTCCAAATTCAATATATTTATCATTACTCCCTCCGTCCCATAAAATTCTTCCCACTTTCCTTTTTGGTCCGTCCCAAAAAATTCTTCCCACTTATCATTTTTGGAAAATTTGTGTAGTTCACATTCATTTCACCTTTTTCTTACACAACTACAACCACACATTTCCACTTTATTCCACTTTCTTAATCCCTGTGCCAAATCAAAGTGGAAAGAATTTTATGGGACGGAGGAAGTATTTTTTAGCATTTTTAAATATTTTTTTATTTATTTAAAATTCACAAGGGTGAATTTGCTCCTAAACATGAACTTTATGGACATTTTTGTACCTTTCAAAAGATTAGGGACATATATACACATGGAGCTAAATGTCAAAGATATATTTGCATCTTTCCCTTTTACAAAACAAGTGCAAGATAAATTATTAGGAGACAGGGGATCGGTTCAAAAAAAGGAGACAGGGGATTGGACAAAACAGCCCTCACATAGTATTCCATTCATCACAAAATAAATATTCCACTTTGAATGTTAGAGTACCCCTTATATCATATAACCTAGTTATATGATATGTCATATATCCTTGTTGGGTTCAAGACTTGGGAGCGGTCTATTGACATAACGACAAGAGAAGGTTTGTTCCTCTGTTGAGAACAGAAAAAAAAAAAATCAACAGGGTAAATCGTTGCCCAGATAATCAACAATAAAAACCGTTGCCCAGATCCAAGAGAAACCCCAATCGA